CCCCAAAACCCCAAAACCCCAAAACCCCATATTCCATTGAGCGAATTGGAATATTTTAAAAACAATTATAAAATATATAGTTGCATTAAAATTTGAAATAGCTTTATTAATGGAGGATTAGAAAGATATCAACAAGTATGATGATGGAGGCTCTCTTGATGATTACAATGACAGTAGAGAAGGTGGAGATGAGGAAGATGATTTTGAAGACGACGAAGATGATGATCAAGAGATATTGAACGAAGAGGAGCAGATGTTTCTATAGTAATAGATTGAGAATGAGTTCATGCAACCAGGAGGGGAGGATGACAGTGATGATGGACTTGTTCTTGCAGGAGAAGGTACTGCTGGAATTCCTCCATTTAACTAGATGAATATTGCAGATCCTAACTTGGATATCAATTTCCAAAAGTTGAATAGTATAAAGCAGTTTTCAGGTTGGATTTAATGGTTTATCTCACTTCAAGATCATGATTTCTTGTTGGAAATCGATCGTGACTTTATCACTGATAAGATGAATTTACTTAAAATAAGAGATCACTTTCCAATCAAAGATAGATACAAGGAATGTATGAGACTACTGCTCTCAGCAAAGGTTCCTAACGAGGAAGACCTATAAAATTAGAAATTCTTAGAATTGAATCAGGACACCTCTGATCTATACTGCATAATTCATAATCGCTATGTTCAGTCACCAATAGGCCTCGCCAAAATATATAGTAGGTATTTGTAGAGTGGTTATGGAACATGCCCCCGAGCTCTATGCGATAGACAAAAAGTTCTTCCTCTAGGATTAAGTGATAAGCTTAGAACATCGCGAGTCAAAGTATATTGTCCATGCTGTGAAGAGTGCTTTTTGCCAAAGTATCAAAACATTAATCTAGATGGCTTCTTCTTTGGAAGTGCTCTTCCACATATATTCATGAAGTCTTATCCTTAAGCCATTATACTTCCTCCTAAAGTCTATTATTATTAACCTAAAATTTTTGGGTTCAAGGTATTTGGCAAAAGAGGCTCAAAGTATTATAAGCCTGCTACTGGAGCAATTAAGTATATTGAGGATCAAGAAAGTATTGATTAGCTAGTTACATCATTCAAAGAGGAATTCTAAAAATAAAGGCAGCAGCAATTAAGGTTGAATCTTAACAGCAAAGAAGAATCAAAGCACATTGAAAGCGGAAAAGCCTAGCAAAGCAGTCGTGGTAAAAAGAAAAGTAAAAAGTAGCAGTAAAACTAATGAGTGATTCAGTGAATTAATCAATTTTCTAGCTCAAATCAAGTTAGGTTTCTAAATTATAGCTGACATTGTGAGAAATCCAAAACACTTATTTTGAGTTTTAGCATGTAGTTTGTATTTATCTCTCAGTCAAATAAATAATCTATTCCCTTATTTTATAAATAATACCATTCAATCTTTACTTTATAAAAAAGTCATTGGGGTTTTGGGGTTTTGGGGTTTTGGGG